CCCATTCCCCATCCCCCATTCCCCATTCCTCATTCACCATTTCTCATCCCCCATCCCCCAGTCCCCAGTCCTCAGTCCCCAATCTTCATTTTCCATTTTTCATTTTCCTTTTCCCATTTCCCATGTCCCGTTCCCCATTACCCATTCTCGACACATGTTATTCCGGTTTTGCAAACCATCTTTGGGTTAATTTACAGTTTTAACGTTGCAGTAACCATCTTTTTCAAACTTAAATTACCATGCATTCTCAAATTCGTTCGAAATGATATTACATTCACTAATGGAAAACATTGCCATCAAAACAAATAATATTTTGTAGCTCGTAACCCGGTGAAGTCATGTACGGACGCCTACAGGCAGTCACGCTCAATGAATTCACTACTTGACGTGACGATAACTTTCATTAACTATGACTGAATACTGAAAACTTAATAATAATATAGCTAAATCTCCAAATAGGGTCATTCTGAATTTAAGTGCAAGCATAAAGAGGGTTTGTGAGTAGTTTGATTCTATCTCATAGCAATTGAAGTTCACTCTAAATGTTTTCTTTTCAAGTAGTCTGACTGCTGACTGACCCATTCCAAAAGCGCTGAACAATAACCTTTGTGTAAGGTCTACCGCAAACGGCGTCTGCGTCTGTAAGTAGTTTGAGTATTCTAACGAAACATAAGGACAATGTTCTGAGCAACGCATTACACGACAAGCGCCATACAGAATTATGACCAAGCATGCATGCAACGCTTACTGGTGCGATGGCGCAACTTTTAATTTTCTGACGGTGGAGATATGAAAAAATCGAAATGCACTTTATAACTGGTTTACCACAGGCAACACATTAATTAGTGTGACACTTGTCTTGAAAACAACTGTTTGTGCAACCTTGGAAAGCTGGGAAAGATGCTGGTGTGAGATCATTCCATCAAAAAGCATAAAGACAACGTTCTGAGAAACGCATTATACGACAAACGCCGTACAGAATTACGACAAAGCATGCAATGCTTGTTGGTACGATTACGCAACTATTAATTTTCTGACAGTGGGGACAAGAAAACCTCTAAATGCATTTTATGACTGGCTTGCCACAGGCAACACAGTAATTAGTGTGACACTTATCTTGATAGTAAACTGTTTGCGCAGTCTAGGAAAGCCGCGAAAAATGCTGGTGTGCAATCATTCCTAAAAAGAAAATAAAGATTTTCATATATTTTACCCTCTGCAATGATAGCTTCAAATACATTTGCACTTCAACTTCAGTTTCTGAAATAGGTTCCGCTGTTTAATTTACATTTAACAATTTGGCACCGCTGTAATCTGTAATATTATGAAAATTACGTTTGGGTCGCTGGAGGGAGGGTAGGAGGAAACATTTTTGCGGCAAATAAAAGCCATTATTAATAATAGACCCAGTCACGCATACAGTAATTAGAAGCCAGGATGACTAGGAGCACAATAGTCCATTTTTTGGCATGACGCTGAAATGCTTTAGGGGGCATAATAATGTGTCCACCTTTCGCTAAACAAGCAGCGCAGAGTAGGAATGGCTTTCCAATCGGTTTTCACTTTCTCAGTTCTTTTCTTGTTCACTTATTGTAAAGCCAAACCCGAGAACTGCAGTGTGGCACGATGCAAGCTTTTGCCAGTTGGAAAAGGTTTTGCGTCTGAATTTCGCAGGAAGGCTTCTGACAAAGGAGTGAGATTGGTCTACTTAAATCTGAAAATTGGCAACGACAGCTACGATCCACTAGAGTTACAAGACGTGTTTCTTCCACACAGATGGGTGTGGGCTAGCAAGATCACCGAGTCCATGCTAACATTGCCAGACGATTACGATATTTTATCTCTGGGTCTTCTGAATTATCAAGCGCGAAGCATGGACGTGCATTTGGAAGATCAACCGAGTGGATGCTTAGCCAATTTGAACTCAACATGGCAGAGTGTGGCCGTTGGAAGAATGTTGTTGGAAAATGTAACAACAGGGAGCTCTGATGAACTACCACAGGAAACACAGGTGGTTTGCGTTGCAGTTATTAAGTCTGTCGATTCCAAACAATTACATGATATTGACTATCATTGTTGTGGATTACATAAAGGAACAAATGGCCGTTCTTCTCTGTGCGATCTCCGAGTCACTGTTGACGTGAAGTGGTTAAGAACAGGATTTGAGTTCATCATTTTGACCTGGTCGATTCTCGTGTCATTTTATATTCCGGCGCTACCTCTATTGCTGCCAGACTGTGTGTTTAGCCTTCGACGCGAGTGTGACAAGGAAAATCGTTCGCAATCGTTTGCACCGGCAGATCAACAGGACAACAATGGAATGGCAGATCAGCAGAATATGCAAGCGATTAACAGTGGGCAAGACGCGTCGGATTATATCAGAAATGGAAACGAGCAAAACGTGGAGGAAAGCAAAATAATTCCTGTAGATGATGCAAGTCCAATGACGTTTTCAACTCTTTTGCTTGAATGTTCTCGCACAATGCCAGATGTAGGGCTGTCATTTAATATCAAACTTTTTTTCGTGTATCTATGTGTTTTTCCAATTTTTTTTTACCTACAACTAGGACTCTATAGTACGCTGAAAAAGACGTATATTAATGAGGGCCTTAAAAAACAAGTATCACTTCCAAGTGTATTCCCTCTGGTGGGCGGGTGGACATTAGTCACCCATCACGGCGCAGTATACGTAAAGGTTTTTTTTATCTCATTAACATTTACGAGTGTGAGAAAAGTTTTGTTTTTAAGACCAAAGGATTTTATCCTTAAGAGCCAGTGCCCATAATTATGGACCAAACAACGGCACAAGTCGAAAAATCGATTTTGCTCATTT